TTTTCCAGGCACGTAATTGCTAGTTGCATACTATTTGTCATTAAACATGTACCTTATCAAAATTTTGACATCGTAATAGATTGCTTCTAGAATCTTACTTGTGCTTGAACTATGGTCTATTCTTTAAGAATAGCTAAAAGGCGATTGACGGAGTTATCAGTTTGTTTTTGTTAGGTGCCTGAGCAGTTTATTTGTAGCTTCAAATGGTAGCATCAAAAATTTGTCACATTATACCCGCATGTGTACAGTTGATATTCTCCGGACAGTAATGGCGGGGGTAGAGAGGTGAAGCATTGCTCCTTGTGCCAGCAAATGCAAAACTTCTTGGAATATAAATGGGAAGGATGCTACAACAGAAAATCTTCAAACATTGATTGGATGAGTATCTTGGTATCATCTCATCAAGGATAAAAGCACTGCCGTCTAGTCGAAAGATTTAAAGCATCCGCTGTCAATGTCTTTGAGAGCCTTTGCTGTTTTTGTCAATGTTGAGCTACCGTAAAAGCTCTATTAAGCCCCCCTCTCTTTTAAGACTCCTCTCTAAAAAGCCTCCTTTATCAAGGAAAACTTTGAAATAAGCCCCCTCTCTATCAGGGGCGTTGTGGCTAGGCGGGACACCGGGAAATTCCCGGTGGGCCCCTTTCAAGTGAGTTTGTAAAACCCAAGACAAACAGGCCCCTGTGAAAGAGATACGTGATATATGAACAGGGCCGCCGAAAGGGGGACAAGTAAGGGCAAACTGCCACAGGTCCTCGAAGTCTAGGGGGCCTCTTAAAGCAAGGGAATTCCAATTTTAGAAATGAATTTTAACGAAACACAACAAAGCATGCCTAAAAAAATGTAAAACTTGGTAAACGACTGCAAACGTATTCAAGTTAACTTAAAGGGAAGTGCTCTATCTCGTTTGTGTTTGTATCAAGTGTGCCAATAGCACTAAATTTGTTCCAAATTCTTTGTAGTCTTAAAGAGGCTATGGTTAGAGGGAAGGTGATACACTCCAACAAATATAGCAAATGAACCTTTAAAAATGTTAGAAACTGGCATATTTTCAATTTTTCGTAGATGCATCGTTTCTAGGTACGTACGTACCATTTTTGGCAACCTGTGGTTTGTGATTGGAGATGTATTACAAAAGAGCGGGCCCCCTTATGATCATTTTCTCCCGGCCCTTTTCTAGAAGCCACAACGCCCCTGCTTTCTATTAAATCCCTCCCTCTTAAGCCTCTTGAGTCAAATAAGGACAACTTGTGCAACGTGAGAACATTTGTATGACATTTTCATAACAAAAAATGAATAAGGGCATTTTTATGACATTTTTACATTGAATTTATTAATAAGCCTCCTCCTCCAATAAGCCCCCCCCTCCCAATTTTTAATCCCCCTCTACAGCTGACAAAAATAGCCTCCCTCTAGAACAATATAAATTGTTCAGAGCAAGTTTAAAATTCAAAAGTTATTCAAAAATACAATAAATAGTAAGCACTCAAACAAGTAACAAACTTTCAAGTGGTCCTTAAGCTTTGTATGTAAATTCAATATCTACTAACAAAGTCGCGTGGTAGGATGTGGAAACCCCTATTGATGACATTCGAACTTTTTGCTGCTGAAAGTCGTTTCGTAAGAAGAAATTTCGATGAATTGAATGCTGCAGGAAATTTGGAATGACAAAATATCTTGCTTTATTTCAAACTACTATTATAGAAGACTGCTAAATATCATTCAAAACATCTCCTCAAAATGCTTTAAGCCTGTTTCATCGTAGCCTGCGTGCAGACTGTTGACAAAATTAATAATAGGTTCTTTTGAACAACTAAAATTACAGAAAAACATTGCACGCTAATGGAGTTGTTGTTCTAGTGCTCAAAATAAAATGTTGATGTCAGCGAACAAGAAAAGCGGCTCTATTGCGCAGACTCTACTTTCTCTCCTCTTTTAAATTTCAGAGTCTGCACGCAGGCTAGTTTCATCGAGGCTTGCTAGGATTAAAAACACTTGCAAAAATAGAAACGGGAGTGCAAGCGTTTACACAAAATCTTTCCAAGTTGATTTGCTCTTTTTCTTACCTTAGTTTCGAAAGCTTAAAAAAATCAATGTAATGTAGTAACCGAAACCTTATCTTATATTAATTTGACCTTGATCACAGCATAGAGATTACTCTGTGTCTGGACTGCCCAGGGCGTTCCGTTTACTGGGGCCTATAATGTTGCGCTTTATTGTGTTTGCTCAATCATGCGGAAAATATTTACGTACGATGAATATAAGTACTGAGAACGATCAGTTGAGGTTGATTCTGAAGGAGAGAGCAGAGAAGGAGGAACACTCAAAACACAGAGCAAACTCAAACTACAGTCATGTTCCAGCAGCAAATTGACGCAGTAAAAGAGGAGTTACGCCAACATGCGCCCAAACGGAAAGTGCTTCAAAAGCTGGATATGTTCGTGCTGGACAACTCACTACGTGAGACAACGGTTGGGCAACTTCGCGGCCACACCATTGAGAACAAATGGCAAATATACAATGAGGTGAGGGAAATTTACCTTGGCATGTCACTTCTTACTTGCAACATTACTTTCACCTAGGTACATTAGAGAAAGCGAGATTATTTCAAATTGAATTACTGTGTCTTGATTGAAGGGATACCTTGCCGCTATCCGCTACATTTGCAGGTTTTCTATGGAATTTCTGTTTCTGAACAAATTTTATTCCATAACCTCTCTCGTGGCAAGAGCGTCAAGTAACATTTCTGCTCAAGGCTGCTTTTTTCCTCTTTGCGCGTTGTCATTTCTGACATCTTTGGTACTATTGCTAGTCTGGTTAAAGCTTTTTTTTATTAAATTCTTATTTCAACACGATATCCCATCAGAAACCTAAATACAATAATAATATAATAATAATATAATAAATAATTTGTTTAAAGTTGGCGTACTAAATGAACGGTTGATAGCTATAAAGAAGCTAATTAAGGCCAACTATCTAATAAGAGTTTGTATGAAATAAAAATATATGATACAATATTAAAAAGGTTTAAGGTATAATGTTCTAAATAAACCTAACCCAGCAATAAATTTTTTACACAATCTACAGTCGCATTCTATAGGGTGTGCTCTTAATTCTTTTTTAAATGTTGCCAATGATTGGGACTCTCTTATACTGTGAGGTAGTGTTTGCCACAGTTTTTGACCTAAATATCTCACAGTTTCTATACCATAAGAAGTTGTCCTGGCTTTTGGAATGCAAAGATTATTTTTAGTTCGCAAATCATAATGTACATTTCTTGTTTCAAAAATCTCACTCATGAAACTAGGGTTCAGGTTATGTTTGGTTTTGTATATTTCTATCATCAAGTACTGTAGATTGCGTTGGTGAATTGATACTGCATTATCCAAAGTCAGCAATGCTTCGTAGTCAGCATGACTGTCTTTATAAACAATTCTGAGTGCTCTTTCGTGGATTTTATTTACTTTAGCATTCAGACATCTGTCATGAAACATCCAAATTAGGGGGCAGTAACTAAACTGAGCTTTTATGAAGCTGTTCATTAGGAGACGCAGTTTATCAGAACCCATAAATGGCGAAACTCTAGCAAGAGCATGCAGTTTTTGGCTGGCTCTTTTGCATAAATTTGAGACGTGACTTTTGAAATTAAGATTTTTATCTATCATCACCCCTAGCAGTTTTTCTTCAGAGCTTTCTTCAACAATGGCCTCACCGATTTTGATCTTAAAGTCATCTTGATTTGTTCCAAAAGTAAGAAGATGACATTTCCCTGCATTCAATTTCATAAAGTTTTCTGGAAAGCTAATGATAAGCTAAAGGAAAGTTATGATAAGCTAAAGGAAAGCTAAAGAAAAACCTAAAAATGGAAGACAAAATTTTAAAAAATTATTTAATAATATGTGTGAATTGAATTTGAATTCTCAAGCTTCAATTTGGAATGCCAAGATTTCTATTGTTTCAACTAGAAATTTCAATCCTCTGATTATATTTGTTCCAGAGTCTTTCAGGGCACTGTTTATTAACTATTTTGTGTGTCATGATAGATCTATCAAAAGAGATGATCTGATCAACGCTTAAGCCTGGTTTTCATATATCGTAACCCGTCGGCGATGATCCCAGACGCAGCTTCCCGATGGTCTATGACAGTCTGCGATGGTTTATGACATATGAAAACCGGGTCATCGGGAACCATCGGCGATCATCGCTAAAGTCAAAATAATTTGATTTTCCCGACGCTTCACTGTTCCAGGGGTCCTTTTGTTTGGCATTTTCAATCCTGTCGACGCTGAAGCGTTTGTGGCTTCGTGTTTGGCAGGCTACCCCAGACAACATTCCCGTAACGGAGGTGACTTTCAACCAGCGCGTGAAAAACCTCACATAGTTTGGATTGTGGAAGAATGTGCTTCAGCTTTTTCAACGCAGACAGAGCACTTGCTACTTTGCCTTTCAAAGATTTAAAGTGTTCCTTCCAGTTGAGATTCTCGTCCACAATAATACCTAGAGATTTAGTTTTTTTTTCACTCGTTTTATTTCTGTGCCAATAAGTTTCAGAGGAGCTAGAGTTTCAATTTTATTTGTTCCACGTGGATGGCCGATAAGCATAAACTCAGTTTTTTTAGGATTTGCGCTTAATTTATTGATCCCTATCCACTCAGAAATATTTTATAGTACCTCATTCATTACTTGGGTTAGCTTGTTAATGTCTTCAGAGACTACTGTCGTGTGTGTATCATCAGCATTCATGCTTGCCGATGCGACACAAAGCTGGATTAATGGAAACTTTGCCACATTTGGTATGTGATAGGCTATGCCTTTTTGTGCCCCTTGGGATTTTGCTTTTTGCACGGTTTGTACGGTTGTGGAGTTCGTGCTTATTGTAGCAGTGGTCGAGCAAACATTACATTGTGTCTCCAATATGGCCGAAGCAACAAGCGTGCAAGTGTGCATTGGCCTTGAGTAGAAAAGCTTTATTTTGTTGGTATTTTTATCCTCACACGTTGCAAGACAACCTGAAGATACAACCCCTACCCACCCAACCCTTATCTCGGCATTTTCAGGTTTTTATTGGCATATTAGCTTTCTTTTTTTATTTCTATTTCCTAATTGCCAAATGGCTTGCGACTATATGAACAGGGTGTTGCTGGTTGGCGGAAGAAGGCCATTGTTTCTTTTTCTTCTCAATTCCTTCGAAAATGGTTTAGGTTTCATTTATGGCCGTCTTTGCAATTGGCGCATGACAGTCCAAAGATAAATTGGTCCAAGTCCAAGTTTAGAGAGAACGTCACCTTCAGTCTTGTAATTGAAAATGACCAATTATTCTCAGGACCATTTTACCCTTATTTCTGAAAGGTTTTTTGTAACACCCTGGAACAAATATTAAACATTCTAGCACAGTTCAACCTTGATATGTTCAATCTTTTTTCTTGTCCTGTTTGCTCAAAATGTTCATAAAGATATGTCAAAGTATAATGAATTATTCTAAAGAAATTAGTAAACATGTATCCAATGTCGACCCTCAGTGTCCATGTAACTTATCTGACATTAAAAGAACTTGAAATGAATTGCAGCGTAAGTAAAACAAGTCTTTGAATTTCTTTCTTTTTTTAGATCAAACGAGTTGGCTTCAAGCACACGATTGTTGCTTCATTTTCCCATATGACGCGTCTTGGTGACACATTTATTCGTCAGCTTGCTGAAAAAGGCGAAGATTTCTCCAACTTTTATGCATTCTCTGAATTTCTAGAGAAGATCACCAACAAAATTCCAAATACTGATTTGATGCCAATCGGTTTGCTGAAGATGAAAGAGTTGGGTATAAAGCATGCTATCATCGAGATGGATTTGGTCTATAATGGAATCGATTACACGGTTTTTACGGTCAAAAAGATCTGTCAGCACTTGGAAAAATTGATTAAATGGTGTCATAGCAATCTGGCCGAGGACTCCCGTGTCCTGATAAACCTTCGTGACCTTCCTGATGCAATGGTGAAGAAACCAAGAAGAGTTTTCAAGATTGTCAACTTTTTGTCATCTTTGCCCAAACATTTGCGCCCATTTGCGCTAATCACCGAAGAGTCGGGCAAATTCTTCCCAGAACAGCTTGGTGTGTGGATCTCAGCTATCCGCAAAGAGATGAACCGTTGCGGATTCACAGAAGGACACTTGTTGGTGCATGTACATCAGCAATGGGGGATGTTAGAGCACACACAACTTGAATGCCTTGCCAATGGTGCTGACGGAATTTGGGCAGGCCTTTGCGAAGAAGGTGCTTCCATGGGGCATGCCAGTTCCACTGTCACCCTTTTAAATATGATTCGATTGGGGAACAAGAAGGTTTTGAAGAAATTCAACTGTACCGAGCTGAGAAAGGCAGCAATTAATGTGACCAAGATTACAACTGGGCTGCCTCCTCATCCCAAACAGCCAATCTACGGTGAACGTGCCCTTGACCTGGTTTTTGGGATGGATCAGTTTACACCCGACGAAAAGGTTTTCAGTTTGCAAACGTTTTTTGGAGAAGAAGCTGTGATGAGAATGACCACACTAGCGAATCCAAATATGGTTGTCCTTCGCCTGCAGCGATTGTTCGGCAATGATCCGCAGTTCACTGTTGACATGGCAAAGAAAATGCTGGCGAAGATGCTCGAAGATTTGCACGCCAACAGGAAAGAGGAGTACATGAGTGCCGTCGGTTTGGCTCTCTTGTTCGATCGTTCAGGAGGGAAACTAACTGCTGCAATGAGTGACGCAATTGCTAAGGTCCCTAAGGCTTACTGTATTTGCATTCATTAAAATTTTCACTGTCTTCAAATCTGATTCTACCATCTTACAGATTAGAAAGGACCTAAATTGGATTAGAAAGGGAAGGGTGCGAGGGATAATGAAAATTTTGTCCCTGCAAGTGTATTTTTTCTTATTTTAGGAAAAGCCAAAAATGGCGCACATTCAAAATCTTATCAAGGAAATCAGGGAGATGTGGGATGAATGGGATTTGCGAGATGGCGAGCGTGATGACATTCTAGAATTTGATGCTTTCTACAATGGTTTTATGGCTCCGTATTTTGGCTGTTACAGGTAACAAGACAACACGCTTTTTACAAAGCAAACATTCTTACCATTTGTTCTTTGTCAGTATCCGAATAGCCTGTTACTTTAAAATGAAGAAATAGGTACAAAACAGAGATTGGAAATTTGAGAAGATAATGCCCCTGTAAAGACAGCTGGTATCAAATCAATGGTCAATCAAAAAATTATAAAGAGTTTTGTTGAACATGTATTGTCAAGTCGTAGGAGAAATTCTACTGTTCTTGATAGCTCTTTAAGGATTGTTTCTCTGCCTGCCAAAAGCAAAAGATAACAAAGCAAAAGGAATTTCAGATCTCTAGAAATATGTGAATATAATTCCCAGTGGCTGTTTTAAAATTCCCTAGATTTTTTTTATATTCTGGATTACGATAAGCATTAAGATGAATTTCTTGGATTTTATCCAAACGTTTTGAGAATAAAGTAAATTGCACCAATATCAATTTCTGACAGATGCGATGAGACCAAGAAAGCATTAAAGGCCATTGACATGGATGCTGACGGCAAGGTTGATTGGAATGAATTTGCTTTGTACTTGAAATGGGCAGGAAGACAGTACCCGCAAACATCAACTGCAGAAGAGCTACTGTCTATTGCCTTCCGCAAGGGTCTTGTGCCTGCCATGAAAGACGAGCTCGTGAAGGATGTAAAGCTACCGGAATCAGGGACAGATGAAGATATGTGTGGAGATTCAGGTGAAGAAGAAGATTTCGACTATTTTTCAGGGCGATGTTCTTCTGATGACGAGGATGAATATGATTTTTAGTCATTCTGTGTGGCTGAAGTACTGTTTAGACCAGTTGTTGTCATAGTTGGGGACTTAACGAAAAATTCCATGCTTTGATTCTCATTGAATGCTGCCATGCACAATATAACATTTCCACCTACCACCTTACAAATTTATACCTACGCATAACCCACGTGGCAACTCAGTTTTCTACCAACAATTCCCTACGAATTTTGATAAAAAACCTACTTTCTACATTAAGAAGGCGTTCGGCAATTAAGAATGTCTGTTTTCAATGCTGTAGCTAGATGTTTGTGATTGGTGCATTGCATGATAACAAAGACAAATAGACCATTCATTTCCTATTTTTGTTTTGAATCCAATTGTTTTATAGCTGTATTTCAGTCACTCAGGTGGGGCAAACCAGCGAAAAACTTATGGTAAATAGAGGCTGAACTCCCATTTTTTGGTCGAAAAACTTCTTTAGAATAGAGAAACAATACTTTTAGAATTAATTTTCGCACTTGCACATAATTTTTGCACCTTTTCTAATTATGGTTTCCCTGGCCTAGAGCCACCCTGCACCAGCACTGCACAAATTTCGAAAAAAAACCTTCATTTCAAAATTTATACCGTAGGTTTTCCCTACAACCCTCAAAACCCTCAAAATCCCTACAGGAGGTAGAAACCCCTACGTGTGGCAGCACTTCATTTAACTAACATGTCATATTCATTATGATGATAAGTTTGCTGTAGCTGTGAAGACCATTACAAACCTATTGAGACTTCTTGAAACGACTTGAATTTCGACGTTTAAATGAAAAAAGATGTTAATTGCTAAATGCTACACATTCCTGCAGTTGAAATTTCTTCTAATTCAATGATCCCGATTATCAGAGTAGATATGTATGGTGACTTTGTAGATATCAAAGCAGTGGTTTGAAGAAACATGTTGTTTTCTTTTGAATCATCCCTCTGTTTGAAGCACTTTTCTAAGCTTCTTGTTATCGAGTTGTTTTTTCTTTCATGGTACGTTTTAAAGCAAATAACTTTACAAAGACTTTGAGCACACTCGAGAATATACCCTGGGTGCCAAAGTCTTCATAATTTAGTCTCAGAAATATAGTTCGATTCTTTGCCACACCGGCCTACAATACATTATTCCGGGTTTCTCGAGGCTCTGGTACCCAGGGTAGTGAGAATAATTTATTTCTTTCTTTGCCAAAAACAAGGTTCTTTTTCTTCAAGCAGGCTATAACAGGGACAGCGGAGGATAATGCGGATTGGGAAAGAGCTAAACAGTTTAGAAGAGAACTAAACTTGAAAAAAGAGCAAAAGCAAAATTATTTTTGCATTTTTTCAACTGAACTTTGTAATTTATTTCGTATTGCCCCCTGCTTTCAGTGGCGGTTTAAGGGGGTCCAGGGGGCCATAGCCCCGCGTTTATGGTAGCCAAAAGGGGCCCTGCACCTAAGAAAAAAGAGAAATTGTAAAAAACAAGGGCCCCACAGATGTTTTTGGCCCCGGACCCCGCACTCCCTAAGACCGCTGCTGCCTGCTTCCGCTGATCCTGGGTCAAAGAGCACATTTTATGATGACGAATGGAAACTATATTCCACAAGTTTCATATTCAGATAAGACGTTCAACATTATTGCAGGATATAAGTATTGTGGTTGGGTTGCCTAGTCTTTGACTGTTTTTGTATCCATATTTTTGAAACCTCGCTTAATTACACTTCAAGAATTTTCAAGGGTCTGCAACTGAAGCTTCTATAACTCAGCTCCCTTTTCGTCCCTAGCTAAAGAGTTATAATCGTCATTTTAAAACTTTGTTATGGTTGACATGATCTCCAGTGTTGGATGGGACTTTCTTGTCGTCCGTTAATGGGGACCGCGTCTCAGTTTTTTCTTAGGACCCCCGATGCACGGGAGGGGACTCTTGGCTAAATTTTCAGTATGGGGTCTGTCGCAAAAACATTCAAAGTGATGCCCTTGGCTGCTTTAATTTTTACGATAGCGGTGGCCTTAGATAAACCATTTTCTACAAAAAGGATAATACCCTAGGCATTTAATATTGGAAAGTTATATTCTTGGCTAGATGCTTCCTCTACGCCACTACGTACAGGTACGTCAAAGTGGAATGGGAAGGAAGGTACAACATCGGATGTTTTTACATGCACTCGGCTTGAGTTCAGGGACTTATTTCAACAGCTGTGTCCAACACTTACGATACATTAGATTCTTTGCAAGAATACTGTTTTTAGGATGTCTTTTTTTGTGTGCAAAGAACACTATCTGTTTAACGAATGTCTTGTTATTCTCTATTGTCAGTATATTTTTCTGTTGTTATGACTACGTGTGATATCAACTCAACTTGTGTATCAGGCAAGCTATTTATAAAGTACCTTATCTTGTGCCTTATCTTATTTCACTAAATTATTCATGCTACAAAGTATATTCATCTAAATGTAACGAGATTGGGTCATGTGATGTCCTTCTTACATTGTCATATTGCCATTGAAGTTCCCCTTGAGTAGTAACAAAGAAGTCAGCTATTAATGCTCGATTGCGTTCAGAAGTTTTAGCATAATTTTTTGGTCCAATGTTACTTATGTTTTGTAACGCACCATTATCAGTAACTTCTGATCTCTACTTTCCTTTATGCAGGATTCCACGAGAGTCGTCATGATCGACATAGCTAGTTGGGCAATAAACTTTCCCAAACACCCGTTGAGAATCCTCGTGCTTTTTCAGCCAATTTTGCAGAGCGATAGCTGCCAAAATACTGTTGGCTGCCTTTTCTGGCTGCCCCTAAATTGGAGATCTTAAAAATTTCCAGCGGGCAGAAAGCATACCAAAGGCATTTTTGACTACCCTTCTCCGTCCAAAATCATTTTCGATCATTTTGCCGTCCAAAATCGCCTACATCCACAAAAGTAAACATGTAACTTGCATCTGCCACAGCCATTAAAACGATACTAAAAGTACCCTTATAATTGAAAAATGCACTGCCAGACTTTGGTGGGCAGACAATAAGGCAATGTTTCCTATCGCCACAAATTCCAAAAGTCAGTGGTTTTCCTGATAAGAGAAGGCCCAATCAACCTCGCTAAATCATCAAATGTCCTTTGAAGCATTCGAAAATAATTGAAATGCATCGTGTGGTGCTGTAGCCTCATTTCTAGAATAAGATTGTCGCGATGTCCTTGGTTTTTTCTTTGCCGCCAAAGCTCACGAACCCAAACTTTTTTTCTTTTGTTTTTCTAATAGTGTTAATGCCAGTATTTGGTTTTGCAGAGCAAGAGCAAGGAGAACATCTTGTTCTTGTGAGGCCATTTCAAATAACGCATCATGACGCATCTAGTGTGAATTGCAAGAAAAACTATTTGACGCGATGCGCCGCAACGCGACGTGCCGCACCGCACCGCGCCGCTTTCAGTGTCAATTGAGCTTAACTGTAGTGTTTAAGAATTTAAAATGAAAATGTTTCCATTATTATGAAATATAACGGAATATGGTGATGAATATTTCGCATCGTTTACCTGACATCGTTATCTTTGACAATCAGTCACGTAAATGTTTTATCTTAGAGGTGGCTGTCTACTGCGATCTGTATTTTAAGCAGTGGCGAAGCCAGAGGGCAGGCTGGTCAGGCTGAGCCTGATCAACAATTTTCGGTGATAAGTTTTTCCCATAATGAAAAAATAACTCTAAGAAAGAAAAATATCCCTTCTTCACGTCCCTTTCTATCATCTTCAGATATTCGCAGTTCTGCGGTGGAGCGCTTTTATTTATGGAGCAGTGGTTCACCGCTGATTATGATTATGATCACGGTCAGGCTCCCAGAAATTCGCCTGACCAACGTCATAGTTTTCACTGAATGGAGCTAGGTGATTGGCCAGAAGTTTCACGTGAACGCATTGCTTCTGACATTTTGGTCAGGCTATTTCGGAATGGCCTGAACAATTGTTAAGGAAACAATAACAGGAACGGTATCAGCCGCTGTGCAGTCTGCTGCAGTCGTTAGGTTGGGGTGTAGATCTGAAAGTGCTTTGCTTTGGCTCACTTGGTTGCATCAAAAAGCATGTTTAGATTGTTATGAGATCATTGTCAGTAGATAAATTGATTGTAAAGAGCACATTACAGTGGTGCTCGATATAAAATTTGATAATGGCCAACTATATATGGAGACACAGGGTTGGGAAGTTATTCATGTGAATCTTTTTTCTCTCGGTCCTTGCTTATGATCAGATTATGTTCTATTACATTTTTTGACATTGGATGACTTCTAAATCTTGTGTCTCACATAGTTTATATGAAGTAATTATGCAGGGGCGGTCTAGGCCGGGTGGCAAAGTGGCGATCGCCACCCGGGCTCTGTGTACAAAACATTTACGGGCCCTACCGCGTTGGAAAAAATTGTTTAACTTAAAGTCAAAAACTTAATGTCGTAGACTGATTATAGTGCAATTAAAGTCCTGATTATAATACATGCACTTCAAACCACCCAAACCCAGGTTTCCGTTATTCAGCCATGTGTTCAAAACATTTACGGGCCCTACCGCATTGGAGAAAATTGTTTAACTTAAAGTCAAAAACTTAATGCCGTAGACTGATTATAGTGCAATTAAAGTCCTGATTATAATACATGCACTTCAAACCACCCAAACCCTGGTTTCCGTTACTTCAGCCATGTGTTCAATCTTAACGTGTATCCTGGGTACCAGAGCCACAAAATTTCGAGCGCGTAAACAGAAGAACATGCAGAGAAGCGGTGGAGCGTACTCTTATCTTCTATTTCCGCTTTCTAATTTATGTGGCTCTAGTACCCATTGTATCTGACCTGGAATTGACAAAAATTGCTTGATTAAAAAATCATCCATGTTTTAGTTATGAATTGATTTAAGTTACGTTTTTAATCCAATTTTGATTATATGAAACAGCAAATATCAGAGACAGTGCTTTGAGAGCAAAATTCATATTTGGGGGAGGGGGCGGCTGCTCATTGTATTGATTTCCATTTAGTACACTGTTATACAGGACATAAAGCTTAGGCTGCAATTATTGGGAGGGGGGCTTCAATAAGTGAAAATAATGTAAAGTTCAAAAAAGGAAATAGAGAAAGAGAAGATAAGGAGTCATCACTACCATCTGGTTACAACCTTAAGCCTCGGTCGAACGCATCCAACATTTCACCCAACATTTCCATCACCGTGCATCGTCTGTGCAGCGACATGTTTGCAGCACTGATTCACAGATGATAAAAAGGGGCGTAAAGCAAAAGTGAATAATGATAGCTGATTTCGAAAACAACACGTTGAAACGTATAGCTTCCCGTTAGGCCTACGCCTAATTCTAGATCGCCATCGCTGCTGTAAGTCACAGTCACTTCAACATGTGAATCTCTACGTCAGTGCCACGCTCGCTTTAATCTGCCACCCTTTCCTCAGCTTTTATTTGTTAGATACTTTCATTGTGCTTTTACTTTCTAATTTTTACTCGATAACTTTGAAAAAGTTGCTCACAAATCAATCTCGATTCACCTCGGCTCAAATGACAATAAAGAAGTTTGAATCATGCGCATGCCTAGAAAATGAAATGTTGGGTGAAATGTTGGATGGAGTGGTCAAACGCATCCAACATTACATCCAACATTGAAAAACAAAATTTGTTTTTTACCGTGATCAAACATCATCCAACATCGGTTTGCAAATGTTGGGTCACCCAACATGGGTTCACCCAACATGGGTTCACCCAAAAATTTCGTCCAACAATGGTTTTCTGCATGTTGGATGAAATGTTGGATGCGTTTGACCGGGGCTTTAAACACAGATGGGAGGGACTGACAGAAGGTTCTCGAAGAATAGAGATATGTATCAGGATTTAGCAATGCTAGAGCCAAGAGGATTTGTTGACACAAAAATGAAGCAGGAGAGCAATGAGAGCCTTCTTTTCAAGATTTCTTGTGTGGAGAATGTCAGAATTGCTGGCATTTGCCAATTGCTACCAGCAGCCATAAAAAAATGGAAATCCATAAAAAAGAAGATTTCAAGGAGGAAGCTCTTAGAGAAGAAATATATGAAGGAGAAAACTGTGACTTTCAAGGTGGGGATTTGCAAAGAGAGAAGGGACCCAAAAGGCAACATCTACACCCTTTATCAAAAGGGTAAAGCTTGCCAACTGTGCATACCCTGCGCATTCAAAACTTTGTAACGACTTTCTTTTTTATTTATTATCTATATTCATATTTTCTATTATATAAAGCAATTTTATAAGAACATGAGCATCAAAACTGGTCAAAAGTTGAGAACAAATTAAGAACAAGCTAAGGCTGAGTTACTGTAGAATGCAATTTTGAACAACATTTTATCCAAAATACGAGAATTTTTAGCCATGTATGGGTGCTTTTCGTTGAATATTCAATCTTGTCGTCAAATGAAGGCTGCCCCACTCACTCCGCTGGCAAATAAGGCCTGAACACCTTCCTAGAACGAAAAAGCTAACAATCGCACTGCTTACACCATTTAAAAAAACATAAAGAACAATCCAGCCTAAGATTTTCGAAAAATTAAGAACAGTGAACCTGAACCTAATTTTACTGGTTCTTATAAAAAATTAGTGAATACAACATGCACCTAGCAGCATACCCTTTCCTCTACAATGCGTATAAATGCTTGATGACACTGAGCAGCGCCTAAGTTTCCTGTGAATGATTATTCAGCGCTATTGATAATTTTAAACGAAGAGAAAAATTTCCACTCGATTACTAGCAAATCATTGACCAATTAACTGATTTATCTGCACTTCTTCGAAAAGAGTTGAAACTCTGAGAGCTTGGGGATTTCAAACCCTGTTTACACGAGGGGAAAGGTATGGATCCAATTGGGTCCGAATTTATGAATTTATATCGATATACTGCTGCTGTTTAGCGCATTGCTTTATTATAAATTTTTATTATAATCGTATTTTAAGGCCACATTTTTAGTAGGTGTAGTTCAAATTTTCCTGCCACGCCCTAAACCGGGCCCTTTGAGTTTTCTAGCCACCCTACGATTTTGACGCCAGACCGCCCCTGGTAATTAAGTATGTATATGTAGTAGATAGCATAAGCCTAGTAGACATAATTTTTATGTAAACTGAGCTGTCAGCTAGGCCACTGGGGCAAATACCATTTTATTATTCACGCAGGCCCCGAGAGAGATCGTGAATTCGAGAAAGAGGGGGCCTATAGCTTCGTTTTGAAAAAGAAACATTTTAATGGCGACAAAATGTTGAAAAGCTTCTTTAGGATCAAATCCCTTATCAGTTTTCAAGCCAAGTACTTTATAAATTCTACAATAGAAACACTAAATTGTGAAAAGTTGTAGCAGCATTGTAAATTTGCATATCTTTGAAATGAAAAAACAAACTCCAGTTCGCAATTATGTTGTTAATTCTGAGATGTTGATTTATCATTTGTCATCCCTGCTGTAAATCAATGCTTCAAACTACCCACCTAAATACAAGAGCCACCTAAATAAATAGATAGAAGATAGAAGATAGAAGCAGAGAGGCCGAAGAGTCCCTCTGCTAAATGCTCCTCCTAGGCTTCTCAGCTTGGTCTTACATTTCCGCGCTCGAAATTTGATGATTCTGGTATCGACAGTCAAGCTTCAAACTATCTTGTAAATGTATAACAACTTGATTCCACGACAGGAATTTTAGTGCAACTTTATTACTGTTTGCACTATTCACCCTCCCCCCCCCCCCCCCCTTACTTTTTTCTTGCTGCTTTTTCAATTGTAGACTCCAATAATTTTATCCTCTATCAACTAATTGTAAAGTAAAGAACATTATTTTAAGAAGAAATTGCTCGAGTTTAAACACATAGAAACCTCAGTTTCAATTGCATCAATACTGGTCCCCATATCTTTATTGTCTCAGTCCCAAGAGAAGCTTTAGCTGGGCAAGGATTAGCTAGGAATCTTAAAAGGGGTAGGAAATACAGGAGTTATAAAAAGGGTTGAAAGGCAGGCTGAAGTGCTCGAGCCATAAAAGACCTGGATTCCTGAATCTGGGTTCTCGGAGAGCTATCTAGCTATTTGTAGGCTATCTAGAAGACATACCCAAGTAAAAGGCGTAACTTAAGTCAACACCCAAAAACTCGACCTCCCCATCTACGCCTATGACCTTTTAAATGATGTGAAAAGTGGCGTAGCTTGATCATCCAGGCTAGAACGGGCCATCCAGAGTAGAAATTTACCGATGGAAACATAGATAAAGAAAAATTTAGGTGCTGTTTCCCCGACAGATAGTTGTTTTATTGAGCGAAGACCAGAAGGGATTTTGTAAAAGAATTCAAGATTTATCGACAAACTCATGAAGAATTGGGGGTATAACACATCTACATCTCCCTGCTACCTACACACCTGTTTGAAAATCCAATATAGTATATTTCGATGTCTTTTTACGCCTTTCCCAGGAAGAGATGGTAATTTTTCGTCCAAGTAGACGGATGGCGTAGCTCGATGGAGATTGCGGAGGAGAGTATTGTGGAGCCTACTTGCCCGCCAAAATTCGATCGATGAACATGGCGGTTAGGAAAGTCTAGAAGTATCAGCAACAGAAAAATTACTGCATTTTGCTAACACAGGGGGTGTTTAAAATGAGTTGGGCAAGAGATGAATGGAAAAATGAACTGCCATCAATTGCCCTTCAAAATATCGAAAAGCTTGAGAAAAATCTTGAGACTCTCAAGAAAGACAAACAGCAAAGGAATTTTCGGTTGGAGTCACTCGAGGCTACCCTTGCACTGCAGAAAAGGAAACACGAGGAAGAAAAGGAGAGAAATATCGATTTGAAAAGGGAGCTTCAAAGTATTTCGGAAAGTTTTCAAGATGTGTCCAAGTGTCGTGATAAGCTGTCTCATGATATACAGCTTAAAGAATCACGCCTGAATGTTGTCGAAGGTCAGTTGCAGCGGGCGAAGCAGGCCGTCGAAAGCGAATCGTCGAAATGCAGCAAACTAGTTACAGAGCTCGAAAGGGAGCAGACAGATAAGTTAAGTATCACATTAAAGCTCGAGAAATTAGAAGAAGAGCGGGGAAAACTTATCGAGATGAACAATATACAGAGGCAGAAGCTTTCCAGTGGGGGAGGATCTATTTCTGATGGTAGGTGATAAACTCTGATGATAGCTTTAGCGATGAAAAGGTTCTATGTTTTGAAAAAATCTGGCTTAACTAGATTATATCTTTTAGCTACCTAATAAGTTTTCTTATTCTTTCATTTTATTAATTAAATCAAATAATAAAATAAAATGAAGTTTTTTTATCATTTAGCTTAAAAATTTACATTTGTTGCGAGGACAAGTAGGCATATTTATCAATCCGAAAACCAAAAGAAAAAAGTAAGCCATTGATAAGTTCTATCGTTTCTTTGATACCAGAAACCCCCTACTTTTATGTCTTTGGTAAAACCCATTTATTATGAAAATTTAATGAGTATTGAAAATATTTTTACATCTACCAGGATTTATGTATGTTGATTCATTTTGAAATTTTTAGCTTTAATAGAAAAATTTTTTAACTCCCCTCACAAAAGTATTGCACCACCTTAAAGGAGATGAAATGGTGCAAGAATTATCAAAAGCTATTGTTGTGCAAATTGATTGTGTTTGTAAGTGGTGAATAGAAGTGGGTCATAAGTGAAACAACAACCAATCAAAACTTCTATTTTTTCAGAGTACTTTTTTAAAAATGACAAAGAAACGTTTTTTAACAGTTGAAAATTTTGATATTTTGATGGGAGCCGCAAACTTTTGAAACCACTTTCATCCTTCTTGAATTGGTTGGATATAATTGGGCAATGTTTTGTTGTGGAATTTTGTACCAAACCTGAAGAATTCTTTTCTTTAATGATCTTTTGGTTCTTCAAGAACCATTTAAATCGTGGCTCGTAATGTTTTTCATGTGAAGCCAAACATTTTGAATGATGTGCAAGTCTGGACTTAACGGACACCATAAAAGAACTTGAATTCTTCTTGTTTAGAAATAAATCGTTGTAAAATGGTTTCCTTTTACTCAGGTAACTTTTTATTTTGTATTTGTGTAAGACAATCTTTCCAATTTGTCTGGAAGAATTTTTAGATGGAAAACTTTGCTCTGCCTTGGGTTTCGTGTCCTTTTTCTTCATAATTTATACATTTCAAATTATGTTTTATATGGCATCAGCAAGATTTTCAAGAACTTCCTGCCAAAATTTGCTACAAAGTATGCCTATTTCACCCAATTCAGGCATTCAAATGTTTGGTATGGTTGAAAAGTTAAGCCCATAAAAACTTTGGTCTGCAATGCAAATTGTGCATATAGACTTTGTTCTGAATCTAGGTTTTTTTGTAATTAGTATATTTTTTATATATTTTGTATAGTCGGCCTTAATTAGCTAAATGCTATTTCTCTGCTGACTTTAAATAAATTGTTTATTATTTATTATTATTATTTTAAAGTTGACAGAAATGCCACCATTATGAACAAGGTGGTGCATTACTTTTGTGAGGGGAGTGTATATTGTTGTGGTAATTCTAGGGCCTTTTGAAAAACTTCACTTGTCAGGAAGAGCTATATGATATCTGCACCACTTCACAAGCTGTATAAATCGATGATATCTAACTTTGCTTGTTAACTCTACAATAATAATGCTAACAGCCATTCCAAACTGACTTGTGTGATTAAGTCAGAGACAAACCAAAAGCTAATTTTTCACCAATTTGTGTCATTTCTGTGGAATCAATATTTATAGTGATGCACAATTTAACAAAGTAGAAAATCAGGAAGATAATTATGTCAAATTTTACATCCTTCATACCAGGGGCGGATACTTGGTCAAATATTGCGGAGGGGGGGGGGCAAGCCCATTGTTTTGCTAAAATGATGTCACATTTTCCCATTGTTTCCAAAATATTGGGGGAGGGTAACTGCCTGGTTTTAGCCACTGACCTTGGTCAGAATGGAATTCTAGTAAACAGCATTAGAAAGCTGTCACTTCATGGAGCCAAAATATATATTTATTTTAGATGATAAATATATGTAAAAATGTAACGATGCAATATTTTGAATGTAATCATGATATAGGCAATACAGATTTAAAGTTTAATTTCTAATTACAATTTCTTTCTGTAGATGCTGAATTAGGGAAGCTTGTGGCTGATCTTCAAAAGCAACTGCAACAAAAAGACAAAGAATTGCTTGCCCTGAAGCAATCTAAAACTGTTGTAAGTTCCATTGATAATCCTTAGCTGGCTAAGCAGATTTTGTCCATACTGCCAATAAACAATTTACTACTGATTACTAAAGCAAATATGAAATAAAGAAAAATTTCACTCACCCTAGGCCCATTGACCAATGCAAAAACTTTGTTGCTTTTAACTAATTTTTTTATATGTATTTTCCTTTTTCTCTGTTTATTCAAATCATTTAGTTTCCTTGGAACCTTAAAAAAAATTGAAGTCCACTGTAGAGATATCAAGGTAAAAATTGAATTAGAATATTGTATTCAAATAAAATACCAAATCTGAACATTCTTTTTATCAGTGAGATACCAGAGGTTTAACTAAAGTACTTGAAAAATTTGGTTTTCCTGCTTTTTATTATTTTATTTTTTTATCTTTTTTATTATTATCAAGCCTAATTAAGCCTTTTGTTTCACCAAATTAATAAAAAAATATATTTTGGGTCAAATTTGCAGGCTAGTGAGAATACTCAAAGGACAGATTTAATGTCGTTTGATGACAGCCCTCTGAAAGAAGAAAACCTAATGATTTTTGATGATGAAGTCAAGCCCGATTCTGAGGTGTTCCCAAGTAAAGTTGAATACAATCTTCTTGAACTGGAAGATGCTCAACCACCTAAAGAACAGAGAAGTCTGAACACTGTAGAAAATGATGCCATTACAAAGAAAAAAGAAGCAGAAATAATTCAGGTAGCACTTGCGAGCATTTTTATTTTTGCTTGTGTATTGAAGGTTTATTAATTTTGGCTACATAAATCCTCTTCAAAAGCCAAATGTTAGTGTGACGCACGGATTGGCAGTTGAAATGTTTCTAGTAAGAGAGAGTGCACACACAAATGAACTGCAGCTGGTTTGCTTTTATTTTTCAAGTAGAGACTACATACAAATAACAGCATGAAAAGCAAAGTAAAAATGTCAAGACTATGCAATGGTGTACACAAATATTACAATTACAACTGTAAGGCTGATTAAGAATTTTTGATTCCCAGAAAACAATCTGAGCTGTGCAATATACTCTTTCTCTAGGGTAGCCCTTTAAAGTGCCTATGAAATGAAATTTTACACATAATTTTTTTAAAAGAAATTGAAACTTCTACATGTTGTTGCAATATAAAACGAAAATTGACTCGAAAATTTGCATGGGAAAGTTTGTTTTAGGGGTTTTAAAAACAATGAGTGCGAGTGACAAAGCATAAGAACCAGCGATGTCACAATAAATACACCAGACCACTCAGTCAGGGCTGTTAGTCAAACAATTATAAAAATTGTGATGCCAATATGAAATTTTGCAAAAAGGGGTAGTTTGACACGCTGAAAAAGATAGGTTATGTAACCCAACTGGAAAGGGTTCTTTGGAAAGGTATTTTTAGACCAGGGTTCTTTGCCCCAAGCCCCTAACGGCGTTATTACAATATTTCTTCTGAAAGTAAGTACAATAGCACGACACTCTATAGCAGGGGGCAGTTTGATACCGTACAAAAGATAGGATATAGAAACTAACTAAAAATTCCCCCCTTTTCTATTTTTAGACTGGGGTACTTTGCTCAAGACAGGGTTATCACATCTCAGTCGTACTTTAGTACTACAGCATGAAACTTTGCAAAATAGGACAGTTTGATATGCTGAAAAGGATTGGATACAGACTTCGTCTAAAAGTTTCCCCCTTGTGCTATTTTTAGACTAGGGTACGTTACCGCATGACTCCACTTACGATGTTAAAGGCTTTTGCACAACCGGCACGCTTTGCAAGACTAAAATTTTACTTGGGGTTACCTAGAGGCATAAACCTTTTACAGTGCCTTTCAGCATGAATTGTCACCATGAATTGTTTTTTCAATTTCCATGAAACATTCTCCTGTAAATGCTTGTCCCTGTCTTTTGTTCAATTTGCCCTGGCTGCTGACATCACCAAAATTCCTTCTAGTTGACTACCAAGCTCGAGAAAGAGTTAGCAAAAAGCGAAGAACTGCAAAAGAAAGTGCTGCAACTATCCCAAGAACTTGAATGTCAAAGACACAACTCTGAAGCTGCTCGGGCACACCAAGAAGAGAAGCAAAAAGAGAAAGAGCGACAAATGAGGTATATACAATCTAATATTTTTTTATAATGGGTCGTCCTGCTCTCAATGCAGCTCTAGGATTTGTCAATTAGGCCTTTCTTGAAAAAACCCTGCGTCAGACAAGCTGTTTCTGTCTGCAGTCACATATAATTTAGACCCACCGCAAAACCATTCTATTGTACCCAATTTACAGTTACTATTACAGCTTTTCCTAAAAATGTGTTGTTACTTGTACAGAGTCTACGGTAAAGCCCTTACAGAAATTGTTTAAATTAGAAGACACAACACTAATAGGGACAAAGTTTTACCGAACGTATTAAGAAATATGATAACTTGCCATTTAAAAAGAACAGGTGATAAAAACAAGCTACTATCACGTCGCTAAAAAGACCCCAATAAGAATATTGCTAGACAATGAAAAACTTCATGGCTTCAATTTCTTCTCAAAAACCTTTTGCAAGGGCTTTTCGCAGGGGTTGGCACGTGTTAAAGCCTGTGATTCTTAGATTTCCTAGGCTTGTATTCGATTCTGCATCAGAACAGCAGATAAAGGTTTTACATTAAAATTCATACCGATCTGCACCATATATTTCTTATCAAAGTCGTCGTTTGTAGGGCAAGGCTTTTCGATAAGCCCTCATTGGAGATCCAAGCCATACATTTTTTATGAAATCCTTTGTTTATAAGCTCAGTCATGTTTTCTTTTTATAAGTCCTCCTTGGCCTAGTACTCTCTAAATGTAAGCATAACCTTGTTTCAATCTCTTGCTCAGCGTAAAAGTTTATATCGAATAGTTATATGAATATATGAATCTATAGTTATATCGAATATATAGTTATATCGAAAAGTTTTTATGAATCTTTCGTTTTTTTAAAAGCAACTTTCATTTGTAGTTTATTTTTTATAAGCCTAGTGGCCAAAGATCTGTTTATGGATATTTATTCTCTCTTGTAATATCCTCGTATGAAATGCCACAATGTTTTTCTAATGGAAATTGCTACTTTTTCAACTTTGAGACCAATGAACAAAATAAAGCTTCTTGCTTAAATTGTTTAACAGAAATGGATTAGGTATTTTTTGGTTTCATTTAATAAACTGGAAAAGGTTACCACTTGTTTAAACTATTTCTTGCCATTTCCATGGGTGTTGTATTTGATAGCTTTCAGCAGACCTGAGCAACATGACATTTGTTTTATAAATATCGAAAAAGAATTTTGTAACATTCTAACACATCCAGGCAACGCCTTTAGTTTCAGGAAAAAATTATGGATGCAGTACAGCTGTTGTTTAATAATTTTAGGCTTTGTGTTTTTACTAGCAAATTGTACTTTTGTTGTTTCTTCAAACAGTAGAAAATGATACACGCTAAATTCATATAATGCTTCCTTCTGCAATATAGAGAAGAAATGGCAAACCAGAGAGAATTTGTCATGGATAAGGAAAAGGTTCTAAACGAAATGCAGCAAAAATCTCAGCACGAAGTTCAAATTGCAAAGAATAAGATGGCTGAGATGGAATTACAGTTTTCAAAACTTCAGCATGATAACATTGCACTCGGTCAACAAGTTACAGAAATCTCAAATGAAAGAGATCAGATGTCCAATGTTTTGGCTAGCTCAGAGAAGAGAATCAATGAGCTGACGCGTGAAACAAAGGCGTTGAATCAGCAAAAAGATTCTATGGTAAATGAACTTGAATCTGCTTACTGTAAAGCGAAGAAATTTGAAGCTGAAATCGATGTCTTAAAAGGAGACATAGCAGGGAAAGAGAACGTAATCAAACAAATAGAAAATGACCTTAAAACTTCAATGTCACAAATAGAGAAGTTAAAGAACAGTTCACAAAAGGATGTAAATAGCTTAAAGGTGGAAGTCGATCGTGCCAAAAAGGATGGAGTTAGACTGGAGTCAGAAAAAGCAAATGTTGTAGAGAATTTGCAAAGAGCTGAAGAACAAGGCAAAGAGTTAAGTAAAAGGCTGCGTACTCTCGAAAGTGAGCTCCTTGATCTGAGGAAGAATGAATCGGCGAAGGATCGAGAACTTGAACAAAGAAGACGTGAATTTGAAGAGTTGCGAAAAAAGGCAGATGATTTTGTCGAGAAGATCAAACAAAAAGAGGAAGATGTAAAAGTTTGTGTCAAACTTCAGGAGGATTTGAAAAAGCAGCTGATGGCTGCAGAGAGAAACTGTGCCGATGCTATTCAAAGTTGCCGTTCTGTTGAGAAGGAGAAGAAAGAGATAGCTTTGAATCTTAACGATGCAAACGATGCTTTGCTTTCAAACAAACAAGAAATCGAGAGGATGAAAATGGAGTTTCAGGATGAAATGGCGCGAGCAAAATCCGTTTTTGAAGCTGAAGCCCATCATAAGCTTGCTGAATACGAAAGAAATAGTATTTCAGCTGAAAACGAGTTAAAAGAGATGAAGAAGGCATTCGAAGAATTAAGGCTGCGAAATGGCGAGGCAGAAGAAAAGCTGATTTGTGCAGAGAAAGCTTTATTGAATGTAGAGAATAACGCAAGAAAGAATGAAGAGCTGGTCGGAATATTGAGGACTGAGAAAGAAAATGCCATAATGAAATTGGATGGGCTTGTGGGCAAGGAGGAAGAGAAAAAGAAAGAACTTGAAGACGCTGAAACCAGAATTAACCATCTTGAAAACGTTTTGCAGGGGAACCAGGCAAGAATAGACAGTCTTGTCACTGAAAAGGCAGAGTTGGTACAAAATTCAATAGCAATGCAGTCTACCGAAGAAAGTCGGAAGAGAATTATCAGTAATCTTGAAGATAAGGTTAAGGTCCTAAGTGATGAAAATTCTGAAGCTATAAGAAGCAAAGAATTTGTAGAGCAGGAAAAAACAGAGATCTTGAAGCAGCTAGAAAAGGATAGAATGGAGAAAGAAAAAGCAGTCGAGGAAAGCTTTAAGTTGAAAGAAAAGTTGTTTGAATTGGAAAATCAAGAAGAAGATTTTATTATACAGATCGAACAACTTGAAAAACAAAGGGAAACGCTTCAGGAAAAATCTGCAGAGCTTCTTTTAGAGAGAGATGAGCAAACAAGGCTAAATACTGAGCAACAAGCACAGTTGAGTGAACTCAAATCTGCAAAAGATGACGCTTCGTGTAATTTGGAAAAGGCTGTCAAGGAATATTCAGACATTGCAGAGGAATTGCAAAAGGTTACTCAAGAGTATTTGAATATAAAGAACGAGAAAGATGCGGTACAGACAAATGTTTTACAGTTGGAAGGTGAATTGGCAGAAATGAAGGCCAGTAATGAGAAGATTTGCAAAGAAAATTCTGACCAGATGGCCGAGTTGGAGAAGGTAAGGTCTGAAGCAGAAGCTGTTAGATCTGAAGGAAATGCTTTGATAGAAACTATGAAAAGTTTGGAGAGTTTGAACTTAGAGATGAGGGCACAGATCGATTTGCTTAAACAAGAAAATATGGAAATTTGTAGAAACAGTGAGATAACCCAAAAGAAGCTTGAGGACGCTCTCAGTGCGTTACAATGTTTTGAAGACGAAAGGAGGGACTTTGAGCAGCAAAGTGAGGCGCTGAAAAGTCAGTGTGAAGTAAGTGGAAAACAACTTTCAGAAGCTGAGTTAATAAAGGCTGGTCTGGCTGAAAAGGTCTCGTCATTGGAAGCTGAGTTAACAACGACTTCTGAGGAAAATGAGATACTTAGAAATGAGGCAAAGGTTCTTTCAGGTAGAAACAGGGAAGCAGAATTGGAGATAGAAGACATGAGAGGGGCGATACAGGAAGTTGATGGATTAAGAAGGACATTGGAAGAGGTAAATGTTGTTACACTGCAGCTGAATGATAAGTTTATCAGCAAGGAAGAGGAGATGAAAAAGATCGAGGAAAAGGTTTATGCAGCAGAGGAACAGGCCAAGAATCTGAATGCACAGGTTGAAGAGTACAAGGTTGTTTCTGAAAAGCAATTTGCAACTATTGCTGATAACGAAGTGCAAATCAATCAACTGACAGCTGACAATCAAAGGTTGATTGAAGAAGCTAATACATTGGTAGAGGCCACGAAGAATTACGAAATGCAGAGCAAGGTGTTAGAAGATAAAATTGATCAGTTAAAGCAAGAGAAAGATGCATTGAACCGAAGCTTTACAGAGAAAGCAGAGGAAGTGGTTAAACTAAATAATGCTTTACAAGAGATAGCCTCAGATGCTGAGCAAGAACAGCAGCAGAAAGGGTTGGCTGAAAGTATGCTGAGAATAAAGCTGGAAGTGATCACCGAAAAAGAAAAGGAAATTACCGAGCTGAAGCGGCATGTTGAAATCTACGATCAAAGTTTGATGCATAAGTCCCATGACTTGGAGAAAATGAGCAGAAAATTTGAGGAAATAGAGATGCAGCTTAGGGAAGTAACAGAGGAACGAGAGAGATTAGAAGGTGAGAAAGATTCTATACTTGCTGAAGGTGAAAAGTTCCTTAAGAAGAGAGATGAAAAAATTGAAGGGTTGGAAGCGGATATCAAGCAGCTGAATGAACAGTTGGAAAGAGTCGTAGCTGAAAATGGCCATCTGCAGAAGAAAGAACAAGCATTGCTGGAGGATCTTAATGATAAGATTGAGCAAATTACAAATGAGTTCAGCAATAAATCCAAAGCTCTTGAGTATGATTTGACGTTGAAGGAAAACGAGGTTGTCGAAAAAGCATCTCTATTGGAAAGAAAAGCAGCAGAAATTGAGTTTCTTTCGCAGCAGAATTCCAGATTGCAAGACGATAATAGTCAGCATCGTACTCAACTCGATGAATTAAACGACTTCCACAAAAAAGAATTAAGCAGCTTGAAAGAGCAAGTAAATTTGTTAGAAGACAGATCATTAGACGAGGCAAATAAGGCAAAACAAGCAATCGAAGAGAAATGCATCATCCAATCAGAGAAAGATAATCTGGAATCGAAAGTCGAGGAATACAAGGAAATAAACGAAGATTTGCTCAAAAGAATGAGAGACGCAAGTGATGAAAGGGACATTCTTGTTGTTGGAATTTCAGATGTGGAGCAACGATTTGCAAGAAGGGATGCAGAATATGTCGAACTGTCAAGCCAAATGGAAACCGCACAAGCGGAGTTGCAGAGTGTACGCAAAGAGCTTGAGAACAGTGAGCAGGTGGCTCAAAAATTTGAAGCAGAGATTGGCATGTTGAGTGATGCTGTGAAGAAACAAGAAAGCCAAATTCTGCACGAGGAGCAACAAAGATCAGTGGCTGAAAATGAGCTAAAAGATGCAACTTTGAAATATGACTCAAAGATCAATGAACTGCAAAAGCAACTGAAGCATGCCAACAGATCTATTTCATTACTTGATGGGAATGCCAACGAGTTGGAGAGACAAATCCTAGCAAAAACCAATGAGATGGAATCTCTGGCAAAAGAATTTTGTGCATATAAGGAGACGATGTCTGTAGAAGTTCAAAGCCTGACAGGGGAGATTGAAAATAAAAATGATCGTATATCAGAAATGATTTACAATTCCAAAGAACTTGAATCTAGACTTTCTGATCTGCTTTCGGATCTTGACGCTGAAAAGAGGAACAACCAGTCACTCACAGACTGTATAAAGGACAAAGATGAAAAAGTTAATGAGCTTGTCTCCACGTTACATAAGATTGACGATGACTTATCAAACGAGAAAGCTTTAAGGTTGGAGTCAGAAAATCTGGTCGAGAATTTGTCCTCCAAGTGCTCCTCTTATGAGGAGACAGCTGTAGAGCGGCAAGCGGAAATAGAGAGATTGATGACAAGGATATCTATGCTGAACTGTAAACATGAAGAACTTGAGACGTATATTGCTGAAATTGAAGCAAATATTACCTCTTTGAATGAAGGTTTGAAGAGCAAGGAAAAGGAAATGGCTACAACAATCGAACTTTACGAAAAGAAAGTTCAAGATGGTGAGAGGGAATATGGCCAATTGGTCATCAAAACTGAGAAGTTGAAATCTGAAAATTCTGGTCTTCTAGAGCAGCAAGAGGTGTTGGAAGCTGAATTCCAGTCAACAAAAGAAAATTTTAGGAAACGGGAAAGTGAGTTACAAGATGATATAAATGGAAAGCATAACTTGATTACACAGCTAGAGGCATTGCAGGACGAGAAGGACAACAGGATTGCATCACTTGAATCTTCTTTGAAAGATAAAAGCAAAACGTTGCAAGAAACAGAGGAACTGGTGGGGAATTTACAAACTCAGTTAACAGAAAGGATTGAACAGTTAGAAAGTACCAAAGGAGGATTAGAACAGATGGAAAAGAATTGTAATGAGAAAGACCAGTTGCTACACGAAAAGATGATTGAAATCGAGAAGCTAACAGTAAAAGTCACCGAGTTATCAGGATCTTTTGAATGTTTGCAGGAAAGGTCATCGAACGAAAGGACCTTGCTTGAAAATGAGTTGAGCAAGAAGATTAATGCCATAGCTGACATTGAAAGCAGTCTGACAGAAGCACAGTCGAAGATAAATGAATTGCATACTGTTATTGACGATCTCTCTAATGAAAGGGAGAATGTTAGATTGACTGTTGATAACCTTCATATTGAGGTAAATGCAGTAAAAGAAGAATGCGAACTCGCCAAAGTGGCACACAATGCAAGAGTGGATGAATTACAAGTGGTTGTCAACAAAAAAGAACAAGAGATTTGTATGTACCATAAGACATCTGAAGATATGAAACAGGAATCAGTAGGTCTGAAGAAGAGAATCGATGAGCTGGAAGGTAGCATTACAGAAATGAATAACCAACGCAAAGCAAAAGAGAGTGAGATAGCTGCATTAACTGATCAGCTGAAACACGCATCGGATGAATGCGAAAACCTGGGAACCAAAATAGTCAACTTAGAGGAAGAGATCCAATATTTGAAAATCGATCTGGACAAGAAATGCCAAGAAATTGAAGGCAACCTGTCAACAATTTCCAAATATGAAGAGGAGATCATGTTGAAGACGAACAGCATCAGTGAATGCCAGAACCTTGCTACGAGTTTTAAACGCGAAATTGAGGCATTGCAGTCTGAGATTGCTCGTGTAAATGCTGGTGTTGAGATTAAGGATAGAAATAATGAAGCCTTGTGCCAGAAAGTAAAAGGTCTGGAAGTGCAATTGAAGAATAAGGTAGAAGAATTCGATCAACTTTCTCTTGAAAACCAGTCAATGCATGATCACCACGAGGTGGTTGTTTTAGAGTTGAGGGAGACAGTAGATTTGAAGATCTGTGAGTTAGCTGGGGTGAGAGAAGAGTTTGAAAAGCAGAAAAGAGAATTAGAAAACGCGCTTGACAAGATTGGATTTATAAATCAAGACGCAAACGATAAGGCAAATGAAATGGAAAAGATCAACTATGCATTAAAGGAAAGTGAAGACCAATTGGCAAAGGCAAAGACAGAAAATTCAGAACTTGTTGAAATGGTAGAAAATTTGAGGAAAGATCTTGAGGTTGTAAATTCTGATCTTGAACGCACCAAGGAAGATATGGACAGGAAAACTAGTCTTATTAAAGGACTGAATAACGATAATGCGAAGCTTACTGACATCGTTAATGAAAAAGAGACAGTTTTAATTGGCAAAGACGAAGAGCTCAGTGAATTGATAAAAGAGGTGAACAATGCCAAAACAGAAGCTCAAGTCAAAGAAGATGCTTTGGCGAGCTTGAAATCTCAAAACGTAGCTTTAACTGAAAATGTTAATGAAGTTAAAATGATTCTGACAGCTAAAGAGGAAAAAATTACAGAGTTAATTGAAGAGCTTGACAAAGTCGAAAAGGAACTGACATGTAGCAAAGAAGACCATGAAAAGACAAAAGATGAGTTAAAGGAAATTGAATGCGAGAAAAGTGGTTTTGCAAGAGAACTCAGCAAGGTGAAGGATAATTTTGCTTCAGGGGAAAGGATGATTGAAGTGCTGAAGGTAGAGACTGGGGAAATCAAGGTTGAACTTGAAAAAGAAAGATGCAATGCAGAAAATTTGTCTGTTGAAAATGAAAAGCTATCAGAAAGAGCTGAAGAAGCAGAGAAAGCTCTTTCAACCAAAGTTTGTTTGCTGTCGGAATTGACTGCAGAACTTAAGAGTAGCGTAGAAAAAATTGAAGAGAATGGTGAACTATTGAAATGTGTACAAATTGAGAAAAATCGTCTTGATGAGAAACTGTCAAAGTCTTTAGATGATATAGCAGAAATGAAAGAAAGTCATAACTCTTTGAATCAAGAGCTTGCTGATGTTAAAAATCAGCTTTGCGAAAAAGAAAGTGCTTTAGAGAAAATCAGGAATGAACTTACTGAGTTTGAGGAATCTACAAAGTGCCTTGAAAAGAAATTAGCAGGAAAGATCTCTGAGCTGAAAGAGTCAAATGAATTGCTCGTTGATGCTCGATCTGATTTAAAGAAAAATGAACTGGCTATGGGTGAATTAGAAAAAACTTTGAAGATGACACAGCTCGTCTTGCGCGCAAGATCCAGAGAGGCTGAATCTTTATATGGCCAGTTACAAGACGTAAATACGGAACTGGAGGCAAATGAAAATAAACTGGATAGACTGTCAGATGAAAATGATCAGCTGGAAGATCAGCTTATGAAAGCTAAAGCTGCACTTGAAGAAAGAAATAAAGAGGTAGAATTTCACGGAACAACGTTTAAAGATTTCGAGCAAAAGCTTAGCGAAAAGGAATCGCAGTTAGAGAAGAATGAAAAAGAATTAGCTGCTATTGAAGAGGAATTCAATGCAGCAAAAGTTGTGCTGGAGAAAAGGGAGGGTAAAATGGAAAAATTAAAGGCAGCTCTAGAAGAAAATCAGTCTAAAATTGAGGAGAAAGACGGAGTCATATCACGTATAAAAGACGAAATGGACGCTTGTGTCAGGAAACATAAAGATGAAATTAAGAAGTCAAAATCTGAGCATGATAATTTGGTGAGGTTGCTAAAAGGAAAGGAGGATAAAATCAGCCAGTTACGGCAAGAGATACAAAGTATGTCTTCAAGTATGAAAAAGAAGACTGAAGAGTTGGAAAAGCAAGTTTCAGCAAGAGAGGAAGATCTCAAGAAGAAAACAGAAAAGATAGAGAATCTTCAGGTTGATTTAGGAAGCCATAAGTATGATCATGATGCGTTGTTTGAAACAATGACTGAAGACTTGAGAAAATCAAGAGAAAAGGTGCAGTCTCTTGAAGAAAAGATAGAGGAATTAGAAAAGACTGTTTGGGAGGGATACGCTGAAATCGAACAAGTGAACCAGGACAAGATTGTGTTGCAAAACCAGATCAAAGCCTTGACGGGAAAATTGGAGGAAATGGGTGATGAAAAGGAGGGTATTTTAGAAGATAAGATCAAGGAGTTGAAAGCGAAAGATGACCAAGTTAAAAATATGGGGCTTATGTGACAGAACTGCAAAACAGACTGAAGAGAGAAAGGCTTCAAAGCAGAGAATCCCGGGGTTCAGAAGGCGGACCTGGCGAGGTAGGTGTTTTGTCGTTCTTTGTTAACATTTCATGGTTTTATCATCAATTCCCATTCATACAACCGATTTATTTTATTTGCATGGATATTTACCCTCTCGTGTTCCCTGAAACCTTTTTGATGATAAAATACCTAAAAGTCACCCAGTGTACTTTATTTTTGCAACCATTTCTGTGAATGCTGCAAAAATATCTCCCAGCTGGACAACCTTTTGTCGACAGTAAAGAAATATACAGCCTCTTAATTTATCAAGCTAGAAGCAAGAATAGTTATGAACTGCGTGCACCAACACGCAATCACAACTGTCTGTGATTTCATGTAACACGTTTTATTGTTGCCAGTAACCACATGGCTATCGATGAAATTGTTGTAGCGGAGAATATTATCCTTGCTGCTTCTATTCTTGCGCAATAAGATATTTCTAGATTTTGTTCATGTCCCTCTGTCAAGTGCATTGTTCATAGGCTTCAAGGCATCGAGTCATGGTAAATAGGCCTTCTCTCTTGAGATAATTTGCTTTCGGCGTGGTCACTGTAGTTTGATGTGATGTCGGCATCCGTTGTTGACAACTTGCTGTTGACAGAAGCTGCTTTGTAGATCAGTACGAGGCAACTTCATGTGATCAGTGGCAGGTCAGCCAATAGCATTGCAGCACGAAAATCATGGTTCAGCGTATTTGGGTATACCCCCTCCTCTTACCATGACTCGATGCCTTTCAGTTTTGCTGCGGAACGTTCCAGACTTGTCCATTGCTTTAGATTTACCTATAGATGTTTAGTGAGTGCTCATCAGCTTTCTGTGATTTTTTGCCTTGTAGCGAGGTTGCGTTTATTTTTTTCAATTAATAAAAGTATAGCTTAGTGATGTCACCACTTCTGAACTTTGTATGAATTAAATACCATTACTTATTTGCAGCAATCTGTTGTGAGAGAAGGCCTGCGCAATCTGCAACTTACTGTAAGTAGGTTTTGTATCTAATAACTTGTTGTATTGTCAGAGACGGTCTTGTTTAGGCTCAATTACATTTGTACCCTTTTTTCAGTTTAAGTCCAAAACACATAGCTGTGTTCGTCTTTAACTAAAATCCTTACCTAAGCGCTTGAAAAACTTTGCAGGCAATCCCCTCTCTCCCAAACAATGTTGAATATTTTGATTTTAATGCTTTATAAACGTGGTTTTTGATGTGCCAAGTCCTGCTACAATCAAATACGAGTGAACATTTGCTAATCAACATTATTTGGAGGGCAATTATGGGGGGGGGGGGGGGGGGGGGGTAAGTTTGCGATGTTTGGAGTTGGGTAGCCTGGCAGAAGGAGTGTTGTGTTGCTGTATTTTTTCAAGAGGTTTTGTGCAAGGTCTTGTAGTTCCGCATATGTTTAGGGGAACGAAGCCAAAAAATTAGTTTTATATCAAGATTGTTTACAGAAAAATTAATTATACTGACCCTACTGAGAATGATACGACAAGAGAACGACTCTGTTAAAATCCATCCTACCTATTGCCACGCTCTAGTGATAGTCGATACATACCATAAGTAACCGACGACAAAATCAATAGCGACATATTATGAAGACAAGTCCGTGTCAACGGCAGCCCAAGTTAATACATGCTCTGTAATGCTAGTTTTAGCATAATCCGAGACTTATCTTCCTTTCCTCAGAAAATGATAAAACCGCATATGTTGGATTTATAGCCCTGTTATCTTTAAGTACTAATACGTTGATGCACCAACTATCATTGGCTACATACACCTTATTTTATTTTGTATGAACTGCAGAATACGGTTGTTCTTTTTTCCTCTTTTTTCGCACACAGCCACATGTCAAGTATGAAATATGTTAAAAATTTTGTTCCAGACGCCAGATAATCGCTCAGCGACCAAAGATTCGAACGGAGAAACGCCTCTCAAACGAGCAAGAACAAACGAAAGTATGTTGCGGTTAGATTATAAATTATGAATAAACTATAGTTATATTTAGTTAATCGATTCGCTACGATTCATGACGTAATAGAAATACGTTAAATGATTGGTGTGTGTTACCGCGGTAAATGGCTGTTTGTTATCAAAATAACATACACCTTTCTGGCTTCCTCAAATATAATTTTAATTCCTGCAATTTTGGAAGGTTCAATTTCAAATAATTACTTGAACCGAAAATGCCGTCATACCAAATTTGTGGGGATTAATGTATTCCCTTTTTCGTTTTTACTTAAACAACAGAGACTTCGTTGCTTCATTTTGCGACTATGACGTCTAGTCTAGTTATATACTAGCCAAGGTGTACACAAGGTTTATCTCGCCAAGCAAATGCTGTTGGGCCTGTTCAAACCTGGTGTTCAGTCAGACCTAAGCGAACTAAAAGCATTGTATTTGTTTTTCAGAGGTCTTGCCATCACCGATATCTTCACGAACAAGAAAGAAGCTAGCCAGAAACAACAGTCCCCCTCGCAAGAAACCATATCCAAAAAGCAAGCCTGGATCGCTTTCAGAGGATTCAGAAAATGAAAACGAGGTTTGTTAGAACAAATCACCACTTTTTGTACAGTTAATGACTCGTTGACTCTCGCAAAGTAAATATGCGGATCTAGTATTCAGTTGATCTCTGAAATTTCAGCTAAGGTCATTGCCTTTGACAAATGTTTGTTTTTGTGCCTCATCATTGACCAAGAAAAGTTTTCATTACAAAACTAACGGTGTGTCAAGTTTGAGGTAGGGTTTATCAAAGAAATGTGTTAGATGAAGCCAAATTCATATTCGATTCTGGAGTATCAAATGGTATGAACTAGGTTTTTTTTCTGACTTGCTTTTTAGAGTAAATCTCAGCAAAGCTTAGCCTACTTTTTTAAGATTCGGCCTTTAATTGGGTCATGTTTTAAAACTTTATTTGAAAATTCTAGTGCTATAATTTCTTGCATATGGTTTTTATCTTGAAAGTCCGTATTCCTTGATCGATGGACGATGGTGCCAGGCTATGAGGCTCTTGGGACAATAGATGGTTCAGGAGATAATGTCCTTTGGAAAATTAACCGTATGATTTGACAGGTTTAAGTTGTCTGGAGCACCAGATTGTTTAGTCAAAGAAGAACAGCCTAAAACATGCTAACTGAAACTTGAAATATTTAAGACAAAGCAAGAGGGTTTTTTCTAGTCCGTCTCAAGGTGTTTAAAGTCTACTTCGTGATTCAGATTAAAATTGAAATGATTAGGGATGCCACATGGTGTCAAATAGTTTTGATATCATTCTTTTTGGCGTTACTTTTTCATCAAAGGTGAAATTTGGTTGTAGCTGACTTTTTGCCAATTATCAGCGACCACCAAGTTGCTCACATAAGCATTTTTTGTCATTCAGGGTTGCTATAAAAAGCCTTTAGTGACCAAATCAGAATCTGCAAAGCAGAACATCACTAAGCCTATTGGTTTATCGCCCCGAAAGAGTAACGTGATGCGAGGCGAACACGAAACAAAGCATGGATCAAAGCTTCCAGGTAAACTGGCAACAACAAGAAAATACGATTTTGAGAGAGATTTTGAGAAGGAACTGTCAAAAGAAGGTAAGAAAAAGAGCGTCATTGTCGATGCCATGACCTGCAGAATCTCTCTTTGATCTGCCTCCGCGTATGTTTAAGAAGCGCATATGTTTTAGACCACCCGGCACCCGGCGAATTTAGTATATCACCAATGTATTTAACAGAAGAGAAGTTGCCTCCCTTTTTATTGCTTTAAGATATAAATTTCTTGCTGTTTACATGGTATTTGCGATTACGAACTGGCAAAATTAAAGTCAACTCATTTTGGTTTGAGATAAAGAGGTGTATGAATGTTCCTCTTCTGCATGTAATTCTCCTGAGCTTTTTTCAAGAAAAGGCTTGGACTGAAGGATGGGATTGGTCAATACACCAATCCCATAAGACATGAAGCGGAAAAAACATGTAGCGTAATATATACTTTGCAGAAGGTAATTTTCAATTCATTCGCATTGCAAACAGAAGCTTAGTTGTATAGAGAAGCAAAATTTTCTGATCATTGTGAATTGGTGTCTTGTTGTTTTGCTAGTTCAAGTTAAAACAGGAAACGTTTCATCATCTCAGAAACAGTAGAAGTTGGACGAATCATCGCTATTAAACGACATTTGTAAGTCAGGAGTCTTTTCTCAATTTTTTATATCCTCGAGCTGAAGTCTTGCCTTACTTTACAGAAAAGAAGAGACCCGTAAAGCTGAAGTCATTGAAAGACTTAAAGAATGGCAACGAAGAAAAGGAAGACCAACCCGAGTGTCGAACGCAGTAAGCAACATCAACACGCATCTAGGTTGGCTTTTAGGCGGCCTCTAAGGCAAGCCAAGCCTAGCCTTCAAAATACTTTTGACGCCTAATACCGAAGACCAATTTGTTCTTGTAAATTCTATCAAAAGAAGATCTCTTGCAGACAATAGAAAGATTGGTCTTGCTGTCATTTAACGTTTTTTTAAATTGTTCAGATTAGATACTGATTTATGTTGTAAAATATTTGGTTGTGAATGGCTGTTTTTATTTAGAGAATGCATTCTCATCAATGTTACTTGTTGTGTTAGAAGGGCAACACGATTATACTAATGTTTGGCACATAAAAGTTTTGTTCAACAGTTTTGAATGGTTTATACCAATATGTTGGCACTTTAATATATATTGATAAAATCTGTTTCATTACATACCGTAAATTCTCTTTTTAGCCCCCCTCTCAATTAAGCCCTCTCTCTTTTATAAGTTGATGTTTTTTATTTCGCAAATAACAAAAACTTTACCACTATAAATGGTTTTTTATTACAAAATATTTATTAAGCCCCCTCTCTCAATTAGGTCCCCTCTCTTATAAGCCCCCTTTTAAGTGCTGAAAAGCAATAAGCCCCCACGGGGGGGGGGGGTAAAAAGAGAATTTACGGTATTTGTAATTAGATAGTCATTCGTTATAAACGGTGAATTGAGCCAGTGGACAAGAGAAGGAAATCTGTGGCACAGAATTAACTTTTAAGATAAGATGTATAATTTCCTTGTGGACGCGAACTTAGGGTGGAAGTTGAAGATGTCTTTTACTGTAGCGGAATCAATGCTTTGTTTCGTTATTTCTCAGTATCTTTACTGTTGCAAAACATGTTTAACATTTTTAGTTGCTTTTACTGTACCCACAATTAAGTAAAGATTAAGTACAATTTTTGTTATATTTTGATGTCGAAATTTTTAGCATAAGTTGGGTTTGAGAATTGTTGCTTTCTTTTTGGCATTGTTTTCTTGCTTGAAGGTCCATGCAAATTTTAATGGGCCTAAGGTCTTGGACCAAACCATTGGATGTAAGCCTGTGTTTCATTGAAACAAAGAAATAGAAATGCAACTGGATTCGTAGACTCTGAAAAAAAGTCATGATAGTATAAGTTAATTTTCGGACAGATGTTTTCCGACAGAGTTCCGTCATTTAAACCGTCCAAAAGCTTTTTGCTATAGAAAAATTTTATGTCTATTTAAACAGAATGCCGCTACTGGCAAACAGAATGTCTTGTACATTTACATTTAGCGTATAAAGTGGACTTGTTTTAAGCTGTGCGAAACTGTATCATATCTTGTAAACCAAATTCATTTAACACTCAAGAGGCAGTTTTCTCACCCGTCGTCCGCTGTTATATTTTCCTCGCAGTCGACATCGAAATCTTTGTTTTATTGATTCTCTTCGATCATGCAACAATTTTTCGTCCACTTTTCAATATACCTTTGCTTTTTATCTGCTATAACAAAAATAAAGGCTTTAAAAGATTAGATAGAATTCTTTTTTCTGCTTTGTTTAAAGTCACTAAAACTTTCGAAAGTACTCTCGGTACCAATAAACGGGGAAGGGCTGTTCCATGAGCCCCAGATTCCTAATTCTCCAATACCTTTCGTTTGGGGTCTGGAACTCAGGCTAGGGGATGAGAATAATCAAGGGAGGATAAAAATGGTTTAACATATTTATAATAATCGGGGGTTGGGAAAATTGAGGGAGGAAGTTGAAAAATAAACACCTATCTTTTTATATTAGTCATACTACCGATACATTTACCCTAGTATATGCGAAGGCATATACAGAACCTCTTTGACATTCCTTTCCCCCGTTCTTGATATATGACTTTCAGAGGCTCTTGTATCCAGGGTATGACACATTGCACTCATGAACTCTGGTTCTGTCGAATGCGCTTCTAGAAACTTCTCCTTGCGTTTTGGTACGAGTTATCTAACAGAGTTCTCGATAAAGTAAGTTTGACAGGCGTTTTGTTTTGTACTTATCATGTTCACAATCATTTTAATCTTTCAAGAATAAATTAAGGGGAGATCAGGATAAAACATGAGGGGGAATGAAATTTTTTTCGAAAATTAATAAATGTGGGTGAACGATTTATTCGGTTCTGGGATTTGAATTATTCGATTTTAGAGTAGACTCTAGATATTTTGTGGAGGAAAAACTAAAATCTCGACGAGTTAATCGACATTGGAAACGAGGGAAATATTATCAATACGAGGTAATCAATCACAACAAAAAACATGGCGGTGAAATTTAACAGGTGGGAAGGCAGCTGATTAAAATTTCTTACGAGAATGATACGTTAAAACAAATTTAAACCACCAAACTGGTTACTATTCACATGGAATAAAATGATCCATCAAAGAACCTTGTTTGGTGAAATTCAGAATAAACTATGCGGAGGCAAATATCACAAGCTCCGACGTTGATAAAGACTTTGGTCTGCTTGTTATTACTTCTAACCTGCTCGCAAATTCTCTTGTTCTCTTGCAAATGCAGATGTAACAACGAGGATTGCCAATTATCTGGATCGGAACCGGAGAAACGGAAGCCAAGATCTTCACTTGTTTCTACGTTAAGCGAAGAGAGTCAAAGCAAGGAAGTTCATAGATTGAAAGAGGAGATCAAATCATTAAAGAAGACTTTAAGCAGGTATGAGAAAATCAGTTCAGTTTTAGTTTCACAAGATATTAATAATTTACCATTGAAAGTCGACGATGACTTTGATATTCTGAGAGGTTTCACTCCCAGAAATGAATATCATGTCATACCGTTTGATAGTTTTGATGGCGGACATTTGTTTGGTAAAGTTGGTACTTTATCTGAAAATCCAGTCGAAGGACCGTCGGGACAGAGAGGAGTTGAACATAATGAAGTAGTACAGTTTGCTATAAAGACAATAAATGATGATGCAGAATCTAAAGGTGACCCTGTGTCAGCATTTCAATTGGCAGAAGGTATAATGAGGAATGATCGTATACATGGAACAGCATATGACTTGTACTTTAGAAGCTCCCTACCAGATATATTCAAAAGGATCAGAGTATTTCGGCCATTTGGCCCTTTGCAAAGCTTTGGAAACTTGGAAACAATAGATACAAGCAAATTGCTGATAAATGTCATTGTTCCGTTGTCTGGTCGAATTGACAAATTTAGGGATTTTATGGAGAGATTTTTAAATGTTGGCGTGAGATGGGATCAAAAAGTATATTTGACTGTTGTTTACTTTGGTATGGATGGAAGAGACGAATTAAGAAAAATTATGGCTAAAATTGAAAATGATGAAAAGTTCAAAGATTACAAAATAATTTTTACAAGTCAAGAGTTTAGCAGGGGTGCTGGTCTTCAAAAGGGGGCTGAGTCTTGGGAGGGTGGTAATGTTTTGATGTTCTTTTGTGATGTAGATATATATTTCAACCCAGACTTTCTAGAAAGGTGTAGAACGCACTCATCCCCAGGAGCAAAGGTTTATTATCCAATAGTGTTTAGTCAGTATAATCCTGTAATTACTTATGGTGGAGGTGACATCCCAAAGCTAGAAGATCAAATGAAGTTGTCAAAAGATACTGGATTTTGGAGAGATTTTGGTTTTGGTATGAGCTGCCAGTATAGAGATGACTTTTTAAGTGTTGGTGGTTTTGATCTTACAATCAAAGGCTGGGGAATGGAAGATGTCAAACTCTACCGAAATTACCTAGCGAGTAAATTAAGTGTTATTAGAGCTTATGATAGAGGAATATATCACACTTATCACAAGAAACATTGTCCTAGAAACTTAGCCGATCAGCAATTTGTTTCCTGTTTGCAAAGCAAGGCTGTCTCAGAAGGATCACACAAACAGATGGGAATGTTAGCATTTGGGAAACACATTGTTGGTGAGACAGACCCCCCTTGGGGTAAACTGTTGCAATTTTCATTGTCAGTAGCCTCAGCTCCAGAGGGTCTAACAAAAGAGCAGGAAGAACTGATGGAAAAAATTTATGCTGAAGAGCGAAATATGAATGGTTTGGATGATGGAAAAGATAAGAGTAACCTGCAGGTTGAAAAGCAAGCACATATCCCAAATGTTGGTGCCCAACTGATGACTGCAGCACAAGATTTTAAGCTGATTTTGGACACATTGAATAAAAAGAATATAAGTACTGAAGTATCTGATGAATTTAGCAAAATGCAGCCATTGCAACTAACAATTCTAAAAATAGCTCAGAACATTCTGAGCAAAAATGGTAAGATAAATTGATGAAGGCATGACTTTATATTTGCCAGACTTTAATTTTCTGGCTTGCATATGTTTATGTATTGTCAGATTTGTGTATTCATATTGCTACATATTAAGAGCAATACACATAAAACGAAAGAATTACAAAATACTTTAAAAGAATAAAATTTGCATGAAGGGATATTTCTTGGAGGAATGCTCTCAGTAGCTAAGCAAATCAGCGGAAGGGCAACCACTTTCAAAGTATTCTGTGCTGACTGTCTTACTCATGTTTGATGAGAGGTGTAACTAGATGCAATTATAGGACTTTGCATATTTTTTGCTGTAATTCCAGTTACCTAAAAATGCAAAGAAAACTAGAATTTTTCACCACTAGGGTGTTACCATTAGGAATCTTTAATTTTATATCTTTTTTTCAAGTAAACTGCAGGCCTGTATACCAGCTCTTGAAGGTGATTTCTGAAGGCTTAAAATGAGAGATTGGCAATGTTTATACAGTTTATTTAAATTCAACGATTCCGTCAGTCAACAGAATGGCTATCAGCGACAAATGAAAACGAGTTATGTATGCTTGTGCATCCTTTTTCTAAGCTCTGTCATTGTAAATTGAAGCAACCTTACTTTGGCAGGTACTTAATAAAAGGTCATTGAACAAGCAAAATCTGTTTGGAGGCAGCTATTCATTTTCCATAGTTGCATTGTTCACAAAACAAGAGGATTTTTATATTCTTTGTAGTAGAAACGGACAAAGAATTTTCGCACCAGCAATCATGAATTTAACGTGATCACACATTATTAGTACATTCTAAGTTAAATGACGTAATCACATTTTAAACTATTGAACAGTTTAGCTAAAAATCACAATTTTTTTACAAATATCTTTATAGGTGATATTTGCAATAGCTTGTATTGGTCAAACTTGGGTTTCATGGTTCTACTCTAAGGTCCTTAATAGAAAATGGGGTCTTGATAGTGGGGGGGGGGGGGGGAATTTTTCAAAAAATTAAATAGGCCGGGGGGTCCTACCAAGTGTGAAGTCGGAAATGTGAAAAATCTGAAAAATCACGTGATGATTCTTTTTTGGGGTCAAATGAGATTTTTTTCTGAATACAATCGATAGAAAATGACAATTATCACCATGTAATAATGCATTGTTATATTACTAAAATGAACAGGCTAATTATTATTGTGTACATCAGCCAGGCCTATGTAAATTTTTTCGGATGAAATAAGGGATATGAATGATTGAATTTAAAAATTAATAAGTGGAGGGGGGGTCCAAATAAGCTCCGGCGGGGTCAGAAAAAAATCGAAAAATTAATAAGCGTCCCCCCCTTCTATTAAGGACCTTAGAGTATTGGACATGCTTTTTTCGAATACTGGACATTCTATCAAATAATGTTTTAGATTACCTGACCTTTCGATGCTATAATTCTAGTGTTTTAAAAGGTCCCATTTTTCGGTGGAAGAAGTATCGGAAACTTAGACAAATTCAAACTTGCACCATTGTTTTGATTTTTGAATGCACTGCACTCGAAAATACTTTCGCAAATTCCAGTTTTCGATAAAGCCACGTTTTGAACTGTCACTGTTTGTTTACCTGTGGGTCTTTAGACGCCTTTAGAGAGGCCGTAGGTTGTCAGATTTTTCTATGATTTTAGTTGAAAGGACAAGTGACACACTTTTCACCCTATCTTTTCTTTTCATTATCTTATAGATCATCATTTAGAAGTGAGTTTTTCCTGGTTTAGAACAAAAAATTCTGATCAAGGGGCGCAGGGGGCGCGATTTTGCTTTTCATCAGGTGACCCTATGACGTACATTGTGATAACTCGGAATTTTCCTGTCATTAATAGAGAGTTTACGAAACATGACGCGACAGGTCCAGACGAACTGAATTCGTTTAGAAGCGTGTTGTAAACGTTAATATTGCGTTGTATACCAGTAGCAGCAATAACAAATTATCACAATCTACGTCACGGTGTCACGTGATTCATTTCCCGCCATAATTTGAAAAGGGTTTTTAAGTAGGAAAATGAAATCAGAAAGAAAAAATATTTCAACGCCACTCTCATACAGCATTTTACTTTAAGTTAAAAGAAGAAACAAATTTGGCGCCACAGCTTTAAAATTTGGGTTTACACTTTTTATACAAAGGAGAAAAATGACCTTTTTCTGGAAACATTCAGCCTATGTTTCCGTTCCGTATTTAAAGAAACGTTACATTTTCTGCATATAAGACTTTATCAAAATGTTGTGATTTTATGAAAAATAAAACGTTTATTCCTTGTTTGTTGTGATCGTAGACAAGTTAATCACCCAATTTTTTCCAGAAAAACGTTTCGACAAACCTTCATGATTTTTGCCAACTGCCTTACTTCCTTATTTGAAAACGTCCCTTCTAAAAGTGGTAAATTTTTTGAAAATACAGCGATTCTTCTTGAAGTAAGTTTAACTTTTTTTATCTTCTAAACGTACAAAAAAATTAAATTCTGTTTTTTGAAGAAAAGTATTTTCGAAACTTTTTTGGTTTTCTTAACCCTATAGCCTTACTTTTTGATCGAAAATTGAACGGTTAAAAAGTGGTTAATTTTTTGAAAAATTGAGCCTTTCTTGCACAACTAAGATCAATTCTTGCTTGTTCTAATCATATAGAAGAGAATTATCTTGTTTTTGGAAGAAAACTTTTTTCGATTTTTTTTTCGATTTTCTTAAGTCTATAGCTATACTTTTTGATCGAAAATTGAACGGTTAAAAAGTGGTAAATTTTTTGAAAATAGAGCCTTTCTTGCAGAACTAAGATCAATTCTTGCTCGTTCTGATCATATAGAAGAGAATTATCTTGTCTTTGGAAGAAAAAAATTTTCGATTTTTTTTTCGATTTTCTTAAGTCTATAGCCTTACTTTTTGATCGAAAATTGAACGGTTAAAAAGTGGTAAATTTTTTGAAAAAGAGCCTTTCTTGCAGAACTAAGATCAATTCTTGCTTGTTCTAATCATATAGAAGAGAATTATCTTGTTTTTGGAAGAAAAAATTTTTCGATTTTTTTTTCGATTTTCTTAAGTCTATAGCCTTACTTTTTGATCGAAAATTGAACGGTTAAAAAGTGGTAAATTTTTTGAAAAATTGAGCCTTTCTTGCAGAACTAAGATCAATTCTTGCATGTTCTAATCATATAGAAGAGAATTATCTTGTCTTTGGAAGAAAAAATTTTTCGATTTTTTTTTCGATTTTCTTAAGTCTATAGCCTTACTTTTTGATCGAAAATTGAACGGTTAAAAAGTGGTAAATTTTTTGAAAATAGAGCCTTTCTTGCAGAACTAAGATCAATTCTTGCTTGTTCTAATCATATAGAAGAGAATTATCTTGTTTTTGGAAGAAAAAGTTTTCCGATTTTTTTTTCGATTTTCTTAAGTCTATAGCCTTACTTTTTGATCGAAAATTGAACGGTTAAATAAGTGGTAAATTTTTTGAAAATAGAGCCTTTCTTGCAGAACTAAGATCAATTCTTGCTTGTTCTAATCATATAGAAGAGAATTATCTTGTTTTGGAAGAAAAAATTTTTCGATTTTTTTTTCGATTTTCTTAAGTCTATAGCCTTACTTTTTGATCCAAAATTGAACGGTTAAAAAGTGGTAAATTTTTGAAAATAGAGCCTTTCTTGCAGAACTAAGATCAATTCTTGCTTGTTCTAATCATATAGAAAAGAATTATCTTGTCTTTGGAAGAAAAAAATTTTCGATTTTTTTTTCGATTTTCTTAAGTCTATAGCCTTACTTTTTGATCGAAAATTGAACGGTTAAAAAGTGGTAAATTTTTTGAAAATAGAGCCTTTCTTGCAGAACTAAGATCAATTCTTGCTTGTTCTAATCATATAGAAGAGAATTATCTTGTCTTTGGAAAAAAAAATTTTTCGATTTTTTTTTCGATTTTCTTAAGTCTATAGCCTTACTTTTTGATCGAAAATTGAACGGTCAAAAAGTGGTAAATATTTTAAAAATAGAGCCTTTCTTGCAGAACTAAGATCAATTCTTGCTTGTTCTAATCATATAGAAGAGAATTATCTTGTCTTTGGAAGAAAAAAATTTTCGATTTTTTTTTCGATTTTCTTAAGTCTATAGCCTTACTTTTTGAGCGAAAATTGAACGGTTAAAAAGTGGTAAATTTTTGAAAATAGAGCCTTTCTTGCAGAACTAAGATCAATTCTTGCTTGTTCTAATCATATAGAAGAGAATTATCTTGTCTTTGGAAGAAAAAGTTTTCCGATTTTTTTTTCGATTTTCTTAAGTCTATAGCCTTACTTTGTGATCGAAAATTGAACGGTTAATAAGTGGTAAATTTTTTGAAAATAGAGCCTTTCTTGCAGAACTAAGATCAATTCTTGCATGTTCTAATCATTAAGAAGAGAATTATCTTGTTATTGGGAGAAAAAATTTTTCGATTTTTTTTTCGATTTTCTTAAGTCTATAGCCTTACTTTTTGATCCAAAATTGAACGGTTAAAAAGTGGTAAGTTTTTGAAAATAGAGCCTTTCTTGCAGAACTAAGATCCATTCTTGCTTGTTCTAATCATATAGAAGAGAATTATCTTGTCTTTGGAAGAAAAAAATTTTCGATTTTTTTTTCGATTTTCTTAAGTCTATAGCCTTACTTTTTGATCGAAAATTGAACGGTTAATAAGTGGTAAATTTTTTGAAAATAGAGCCTTTCTTGCAGAACTAAGATGAATTCTTGCTTATTCTAATCATATAGAAAAGAATTATCTTGTCATTGGAAGAAAAAATTTTTCAATTTTTTTTAGATTTTCTTAATTCTATAGCCTTACTTTTTGATCGAAAATTGAACTGTTGAAAAGTGGTAAATTTTTGAAAATAGAGCCTTTCTTGCAGAACTAAGATCAATTCTTGCTTGTTCTAATCATATAGAAGAGAATTATCTTGTCTTTGGGAGAAAACATTTTTCGATTTTTTTTTCGATTTTCTTAAGTCTATAGCCTTACTTTTTGATCGAAAATTGAACGGTTAAAAAGTGGTAAATTTTTTGAAAAATTGAGCCTTTCTTGCAGAACTAAGATCAATTCTTGCATGTTCTAATCATATAGAAGAGAATTATCTTGTTATTGGGAGAAAAAATTTGTCGATTTTTTTTTCGATTTTCTTAAGTCTATAGCCTTACTTTTTGATCGAAAATTGAACGGTTAAAAAGTGGTAAATTTTTTAAAATAGAGCCTTTCTTGCAGAACTAAGATCAATTCTTGCATGTTCCAATCATATAGAAGAGAATTATCTTGTTTTTGTAAGAAAAAATTTGTCGATTTTTTTTTCGATTTTTGATCGAAAATTGAACGGTTAAAAAGTGGTAAATTTTTGAAAATAGAGCCTTTCTTGCAGAACTAAGATCAATTCTTGCTTGTTTTAATTATATAGAAGAGAATTAATATGTCTTTGGAAGAAAAAAATTTTCAATTTTTTTTCGATTTTCTTAAGTCTATAGCCTTACTTTTTGATCGAAAATTGAACGGTTAATAAGTGGAAAATTTTTTGAAAATAGAGCCTTTCTTGGAGAAGTAAGATCAATTCTTGCTTTTTCTAATCATATAGAAAAGAATTATCTTGTCATTGGAAGAAAAAAATTTTCGATTTTTTTTTCGATTTTCATAAGTCTATAGCCTTACTTTTTGAGCGAAAATAGAACGGTTAAAAAGTGGTAAATTTTTGAAAATAGAGCCTTTCTTGCAGAACTAAGATCAATTCTTGCTTGTTCTAATCATAAAGAAGAGAGTTATCTTGTTTCTGAAAGAAAAAAATTGTCGATTTTTTTTCGATTTTCTTAAGTCTATAGCCTTACTTTTTGATCGAAAATTGAACGGTTAATAAGTGGAAAATTTTTTGAAAATAGAGCCTTTCTTGGAGAAGTAAGATCAATTCTTGCTTTTTCTAATCATATAGAAAAGAATTATCTTGTCATTGGAA